TTGCTGCCCCCCTGGAAGTCCCCGGACTGCAGTTTTAAAACCCCCCGCTATACACTGACACTTTCAAAATGAATAAATTCTAACCACTTCCTTGAGAAAAAAATAAATTAGCAAAGAAAGTGCAAGCATTAGTCCATTTTCAGTTTCATTCAAAAACTGTATGAAGTGACTAATACTTTTGGTCCATTTTCCCAGAAGAGAAAGACTGTAAATTTTAAATTTGTATACTTGTTAAATGCAGGGGCACTAGTGTATATGACTGCAGTGCTAATGGACATCCACTAAAAGGCACTAAACTACCATTTCTAATGGTCATTCTCATTTACCTTCATTGTTTTGTCACACAGCTGTCCATCAAGAGAAGAATTCCCTCTTATAGAAACAGAGGACAAGGCCCTTCTGCGAAGACTCAAAGGTTTGCTTTAATCACTAATGCACACACATTCACACTCCCAACACTGGGACGAACACGTTTTCATTCAGATTTTTTTCAAAAGATGAATCACTACTGTATGTTAAGGATTGATAGAAGCATAAAATTGTTCTGAAAAGCTCAAAAGAGCTTTCACCCATCTGTCAGATCAGTTGGTTACCTATCACAAGGCATTTTCTCGAAACAAACAAGCTACCTAGTAAAAAAAAAAAAGTTGTCTTGACATGTACAGATTTCTATGCGCCTTGACATCTTTACACTGAATTTGAAGGCAGAACAAAGCCACTATCTTGAGTGTAAAGAAGCTGACGTTGATGTTTTATTCAAACAGCACTTTGTTCCTCTTGCTCTCTGTTTCAGCTGATATCCAGCAGAAGGACAGGGAGGTGTTAGAGCTGCTTCAGGAGAGGGTCACCCTGTTCTCTGACTTGGCAGAGGTCATGGGAGGTTATGAGGTCATGCTAGCATCCTGTTCCAGAAACCTGTTCAGAGCCGAGTCTCCTCAGGCACCTCGCGGGGAACAGCTGCTCACACAGGCCATAACTGAGGGTAAGACAGACAGGATGAAGCAGGGCTGTATGAGGCTGGTTTCACCCACTAGTGCATATTTATTTCACCGCCCATGTTAATAGGTTACAGTATACACACTATGAGTAAGCAGTGCATGGCCACAGAAAAGAAGGTTCAAGTCCAAGACTGGTTTTGCCATGTTAGGTGTTAGGTATTTTGCAAAAAGCACAACCGTAAATTGTTCAATTCTGGTTTTATGTATAATGAAAACATTTACAGATATTTAAATAAAAGCTTTGAAGAGTCAGCATCTGAGCAATTAATAAATTGTCATTAATAAATTGCATCTGAATAAATAAATGACAGATTACATTAGTTAAAACAAGCATGTTCAAATATATTTCTGACAGTATTTTTTGTTTATTTGTTAGATTTTATGTTTAGTTCATAGATTAAAAATCTTAAATATTTTAGAATATTATATATATATATATATATAT